GGGGCAAAAAATGAGGCAAAGAAATATTATCAGGAAAACTAATAGTTTTCCGACTAAAAGCTGATAAGTACTGGGTATTGTTTCTTTCTTTTTCTTTTCTTATCTTTTTTTTCAGTGTGCCCAAAAATACTATAGCAATATATCAGCTATGGTACACGGAAAATAAATCTAGCCAAGAGGCTGGACTTAGAAGTCAGGAAATTACTCTGGGGCTAAAATCTTCAATCTTATGTTGGGGTGGATAAATCGGCACCTGCATAATATGAACGCATTAAAACTTACACCTTTAACAGAGATAACAGCACGAGATAATTCATACACCTAAAACAATAAAGCCTAGAAAGTGCTTCACCTGCAACACAAACTCCCCTTCCTTCAGATCATGAGCAACAAGGACACCTATAGCTTCAGTGTTGAAGACAAAATACAACATTCCAGGTCTCTCATCCATCAAATACCGTCCTAGGTTGTGGCTTCTAAAATGTACATTAATGAGCTTTTGCAAATCATGCTCGCCAGTCATGCCAATTCCCATTAACTTCCTCACTGTACTTCCAGCACCATCGGTGGCAACAACAAATCTACACTGGAAATCTTTAGTTACATGTTTTCCTTCTTTTTTTATACATGCAGACAAATTTACATAATCTTTGGTGACATTTATAGCTGTGCATTCGTGTCCCATTAATATCCCTTGCTCACAGCCATCAGAGCTTGTCAGCCCATCACTTCTTATATGAAAACCATCCTCCTCGAGCTGCTTGATTAGCAATCTCATAAGTTTATATTGTGGAAAATTTGCAACAGAGATTGGGCTCGCAATACATTCAAAATCTGCATATATCAATTTGAACCAGAATTCTGTTTTTAACTGTTGCTTTATCCAAATTATCAACAACGGAAAAGCACCATAACAAATTAAAGAAACATGAATACAAAATAAAATCCATATGCTGTCTCAAATCAAAGAGGAAAAAGCATGGACAGGACAATTTGAAATCAATATACTGTATTATACTATATTGTTAGCTATATTTCTGGAAGCCTCGACTTTATAACTGATTACATCATAACGTCACATTATATTTTAAGATTATCTACAATATGACCAGCCAAGTTGCATCTCAATTAACAATTCAAATAACATAAATTTTTCGATGACCAAGAGTAGCATAACAAGGCACCTCGAGGTTGTATATGATCAACTGATCCGAGAATCGAACCCGTGAGTGTAGTACAGTATATGAACTTCCTCCATAAATCCACTGGTTGTTGACACCTCAGAATATCATCAGCCAGGCCATTTAATTTCCGGAATATCTGTCATGAATAACTAGTCAAAATAAAAGCTTAAAATTTAAAAGACCAATCCCTGTTATCATCCAAGTAAACAAAAGGAACATGCAAAAACCTCCATCGATCGATTGTTGATGAAATGAGCTTGAGGGTGACTTGAGAATGCAATGTTTTTCTCCAGAATTGCGCATTTCACCCCTGGTGATGACCATAATGTTATCACCAAGTTACAGAAAATTTTCCACGAAACCTCCAGACAATGTCATAGTATTTGTAAACTGCTTCTTTAGGTTTCAAAAAGTGATACCCCTTGGAAGTAATAAATTGGTTGGAAGTGGCCAAGTTAAGAATATTTATAAAATAGAAGCTCAAAATCTATTAAAGTAAGATACATGGTTGCATTAACAAGTTGCAAAAGTTCTCATCTGTCTATATAAACCGAACTGGATCATCTGATTAAAAAAATAACTGAAAGAAGAAGCTGACATTCGCAAAAACTAACACCTTTGTTTCTTCCAGTTTCCAGATATAAAGATGAGACACACTTTTCCTTTGCCATTTAGTAATTATTAAATCCGCTATTTTAAAAAATCTCCATAAAATACAAAGTTTACCCCATGCAGAGGGCCCTCAAGAAATAAGAAGCTGAAGCAGAAATATGACATGCAAAGATACACAAGATGATAAGACCAAACGAAACTTGGAAAAAGAATCCTATATAATCTACTTAACTCAAACAATCTTATGTTACTGGTAGAATATAATGAATAATCTGAAATTATTATCCACAACAACACGATCCAATAACATTAAGTTCCACCTTTACACCTGTGCTCCATTAATGAACCCCATATGCTTTACACTAACCCCCCAAGTAAGCTTTCTTTAAATGAAATTTGAGATGTAACAAATTCTAACCAACAAAGGAACTCACTTCAAACAAAGACTTACGCAAGTAAAATTTTTCATTTTAAAAAAAAAAAGAAGAAAGAGACAGGGCCCCTCAAAATATACCTAGTTTCGTCAGTAGAATTGAGAGAACAAGACCAACAGGGCCTGCACCAACGATCAGAACAGGTAAAAGTGAATCTGCACCATTGATTCCATCAGGATGGCTAGATAACACTCTCCTCTGAATGTGGGAGTTGCAGACAAGTGTCAAGTTGGTTCTTGATCCTACGTGGTAGAGTCCACGGAATCTCCTCGTGAGCCTCAGAAATCCCATTGCAGAGATCCGGGGTCGGCCCTATAGACCTAAGGAGACGTTCAAAAAATTGGCCCAAACTTGCGGTGAATAAGAACACTAGTCATGTGGAAATATATGTAAATGGTATCTGAAAATTTTATAAATCATTATAAAAAATTTGGAGTTTGACATGTAACCCTCTCAAATTTAATCATCGGAAAGCACAATCAACATCATCCAGTTCAAAACCTTTCGATTCATACCAATTACATTAAACTTGAAATATTTTTCTCATGATTCACAATATCAGCACAAGAATTAACCATCTCACGATATCAATCAAATCCTCAACCCGTGATGAGCAACAACCAATGAGAGCCTCTCAAGCTATATAGTAAAACATTGTAGCAAGATAACCATTTGGGCAATTAGGGTCATCACCCTTATATATAATTACCGAATGCGTTGAGCCTAAGTGACATGCTCTCACGCATTGGAATCCTATGTGGCAAAAAATCATGCTCCGGAGTCAGGCTTGGATATGAATTAATATTTTTTAGACAAAAATAATTAGTCTTGGATTTCATTTAATGTCTATATTATTCACATATTAATTGACTTTTTCCTTATTTTCTTTTACAATTGGTTATCATAAACTATTTTACGTTTATTTTTACTACATTACCATATATTACAATTCTTTTTCTTATTTAATTGATACATCAATTATTATAAATATTTTTTCTTCTTATTTTTAAATTTTATAACTTTTTTTGTATTTTATTTTTCATATATGATATATCAAATTAATTATCTTTTAACGATCTTCGATTTGACATCCATAATATAATACAAAACATTGATATATATCCATATAAAAAAAATTAAATTTATTTATTAAACTAAATTAAAAAATATCAAATAAAACTATATTATCTTATAGAGTAATAGAAATTTATGTGTATTAACAGACCATAAAATAGTTATTTTATTCGAAAAAAAATATGTAAACTAACTATGAACATCACATTAATATAAAAAAATATTCTAAGATCTATGTCTCAACTTAAATAAAGACTACATAGAGTGAATATTATAATGATCTTAAGAAAAAACTAAATAAATATTATAATTATAATAATAAAAAACAATTATTATATTTCATAAAGTTTAATCTCATACACATTATATTCCAAATTATTTGAATATTATAAAGCCAAAGATCTGAATTTGAAAAAAAAAAAAAGTAGGAGGTTACCGCAATTGGCTCGTCAGATCAACTCTTCAGTCACTGCATTCTTTATGAGCTCAATTCCCCGCCCTTCTAAAAATATTAGATGAAGGAAGAAAACTGTATAAATATAAAATATAATTACAATATTATCAAACTTGAAAACACTTAAATTAATTCAAATTAAATTATTGAGTCGTAAATAATATGTGTGTTTGTGGTTAAAAAAATTATCATTTTGATAAATCGGGTATAAAACATGGTTATTACTTCAAATAATTAACTTTATTATTTTTTAATTATTAGTTGTATTTTTTATTTTTTATCTCTATTATAATAATATAAATTTCTTCACTTCTTTATTTTGATAAAATATTTAATTTTCAAGCACTCTGGTCGGACGATATATTAACTGCCGAATAAATTAATTACTATATTTAATTTTGACAAAAATGAATATATATTAAATAAAACAAATAATACTTCATAAAAATATTTTTTATAATTCGAAATAATTTTAAGAACATTACTTTCTTATTAATTATTATTAATTTTTTTATTTCACTATAAGAATTTCAATCTTATTTTAATTCTTTTTCACTTTTTGTTGGACAATTAATTTTTTTATGAAACACTCGTATAGTTCACGGGCATTATACTACTAAACATTTATTAGGAAGTAGGAACTTACCACTTTGAAGTTTCGATTGTGAAACCAAGTTGGCCTCGCCTAAGGGTATTCATCGGCCGGTTCACCGACCGAAACACAAAGACCGAACAAACCGAATCAAAGTATTTCAAAGCCTAAACCGACCGAACTAACCATATAAAACCAAATTTAACCTAACCGAAGTTTTCGGTCAATTTCGGACGAACTTTTACAATTTACTAGTACTACTGTTACATAACAATTGCAAATTGGAAACAACAATTTCATAGAAAACCAGCAGGCTGCAAAATGCAAACAACTCCAACAAAAGATAAAAATAAAAATAGTCCATATGTACAATACATCAACAACCAACACCAGCACCAACAGGAAACATCAATAGTCCAATACATTACCTTGAATTGAAGATCGGAATTGAGAATTTGGGAAGGAGATGAAAATTAGGATCCGACACACACCAAGCCCGGCGCCCGGCGTCAACGAGCTCCTGGACAGACACCCCGCCGCCCGTGTGTGTTGTACGCTAACCACAGCGATTCATCTTTCAGCCCGTGTGTGTCGTGCGCTGATGAGACGAGAGAGAGGAGATGATGAGGGGATGAGAGACTGAGAAGTGAGAATCGAGAGTAGAAAAGAGACTGGGAGACGCCGATAATTCGGGGAAGTTGGGAAATTGTTCATATGAACAATATAATTTACCCGGTTGTGTAGCTGCCTTTTGTTACGTATTTGTGTGTCTAGACTCTAGACCGTTTGTTTGTGTGGATCTCTCGTGGGTTATAAGAGCGGGTGAGGGGGGCTGCTGTGACCCACAAACAGCAGCCCCAGCTGTTCATTTATCACCCTTAGATTAATACTAATCAAACAAAATCTAAGGGTCAATATAAGAACAAATATATTAGTAGCTTTTTCCTTCCCATTACATTAGCTTTCCACTTTCCAGTATTTATGAGTGCAAAAAAGGAAAATAAAGCTCGATCAAGTCAAAGTGGCTTCAAGCATTCAGTCCCAATCAAGAGAGTTCCCAAGACAACATTCATAACAACAACGACAATCCTCAAGTTCAGATGGATAAAAAGGCAAACGAAATCACGAGGGTCAAACAGAGCCCTCCTATTGGGTCAACCGACAGACGAAAAACATGGAAATCTGATAATTCCGAAGGGAACTCAATTCAGATTGCGAGGCAGAGATATGAGCTCAGGAAGAATTTGGACAAAGAATTTAAGGAGTCGGGTGAATTCTAACATGAGCCCTTCATGGATCAAGAGAAATAGATCGATCCCATCAGGGGATGAAAATGTGAAGAATGCGATTCAGTTGAGGAAAGTGAAGTCTGATTCCACTGAGTTGGTAAATTGCGATAAAATTGAAGAGAAAAATGATGAGATCAATAATTCTGAGCCAAATAGGGATTTGAAGGGTAGTGATGGGGATATTGACAAGAGCCCAGATAGAGGGATTTCAAGATACGTTCCGAAAAATTCAGATTTGGGTACAATAGTGATGAAAAGGATAAGGAAATTGAGGTTGGAATCATGAATACTGGAAAGTGGAAAGTTACAGCAAGTTTTATTGCAAAAAAAAAAAAATAAGAAAGAAAGAGTACAGTAGTGGAAGTTTTATTTTAACTCAACCACTTTTTTTAACTCAATTTTAACTCAACCTCACTATCATCAATATTATCAATATAATTAAATAATATCAATCAATCATTCTTACACACAACATCAAACCTTAATTCACTATTCACCAACTCACATAATTTTAACTAACCATCACATCACATCTTCTCTCTCCTACTTTTACATCAATTTAATTTTAATTATTTTATTTTAAATATTATTTTAATATACCCACTAACAACTACCATACCAACTTTTTCAAATTTAACCAACCCAAACCAAAAATCTAATCAAAACAAAAACTTTTTATATCCAATCATCCTCTAAGTGTTATATTTGTTCTTATATTGACCCTTAGATTTTGTTTGATTAGTATTAATCTAAGAGTGATAAATGAACAGCTGAGGCTGCTGTTAGTGGGTCACAACAGCCCCTCACCCTATAAGAGCACCCACAATGCTTTGTGTCTCTTTAAAAAAATCACATGCTATGTAGGAAATATATCTAGTCTATAAAAAAGTGTTTCACAATGTAATTAAAAGTGTACCTAGTCCAGCTTATGTGGCAATCAAAAAAGGAGACCAAGTTCGGTCTATTTTGAACTCAAGTGAACCTTACAATAGCAATCATTTACTATTATTATATTTTAATTGGTTGTTAGGTATTCTAAACCTAGTATTTTTTTTTTTGCATTGGATAAATTTTGGATTTTTTAGCTTGAATTTGTCCATGTCATTATAGACTTAATCAAGTCTATTTATTTGGCACATATGCAAAAAAAGACCCAAAGCATTGTGGGTGCTCTAAGTACCGGGTTGCGTATTCATTGTATTTTTCAGTTCTTCGTGTCACTGAGTTTTTTATCGGTTTAAAAAAAAATATAATTTACTATTGTAAGAAATCATGACCAATTCATTTCATTTGTTCAAAAAAATTAATAAGAACACTATATACATTTCTTTATAATATATTTTTTTAAGGTCACATTTCTCATATCACATGTTTTTATTCTCATTTCTCATTTCAGATTACCGGTTAGGCATTGTACAATTAACAATGTTTGTGGAAGCAAAAGCATACACAAACATCTATCATTGTTTCAATTATTCTTATTATAGTTATAAATTCAGTTAATAAGATATTTTGATTTTGTTTGGATTTTTTTGTTTAGTATAATTAATTTTGTAAAAAAGTGATATGGTTATATGTTAGTGGAATTTTGAGTTTATATGATTAGTTAACATCATGTGAGTGAATGAATAGTGAATTAAAATTGATATAATGTGTAAGAATAATTGAGTGATATTATTTAGTTATATTGATAATATTAAAGATAGTAGGATTGAGTTAAAGTTCAATTAGATTAGAATTAAAAAAATGACTGGTTAAATAATTGGATTTTCTTAGAAAAATTTATACCCAAGCATCCCCTAAGACTACCTTTATCCGTGACCCAATAAATGGATCACGGATATAAAACAAATAAAAAAAAAAAAGAAAAGGTCACCAATTGCTGCGACCCAGGTCACAATGTGACCTCGAGTTGCGACCGGATATTGGAAAATAATGGGACATTTGTTCCATTTTTGTTGGACAAATGTATTTTTTTGTATCTAAAAAAATACTAAAATTCATATTTTTTCATTCTCTACAAATAGAGACCACACTTGATATATTTTAAAACACAATTGCAATTTTTAAATAAATTAAAATAAAATAAATATTTAGGTTGAGTTGGGTTGGGAATAAAGATAAATTAAGTTGTAAGGTTGAGTTGTGTAGTTGGAGGAGAAAGAAATAATTTTTAATTGTTAAATTGGATTGGGTTGGGTTGGGTTGGGTTGGGATAAGGATAGTCTAAGGCCTAAATACTCAATTGCTACTTACTATATTTTTTTTCGCTTAATAATAAATAAAATTAGGTCTGATTCCGTCAACAGCCAATAAATAAAAATAAAATAAATTCATATTTTAGTAAGCGTTTGCTCCACTTTCTCATCAGTGTGATGTCTGTGGTGGTGTGAGCTTCGTGCTTTCCGTCCTCTCTCTCTCTCTTTCTCTCACTACACACACTCACCTCTGCAACTTTTCATCTCACCTCTCCCTCTCTCTCTCTACTCCCCAGCCATGGAGAGCATCGTCCTCCACTCTCCATCCTCCACCACCTCCTTCTCCCGCCTCTCCCTCCCTCGCCTCCGCCCCATTTCCGCCGCCTATCTCCGCCGCCCCCTCAAATCCCATCCCGCTAGCTCCGCCTCCCACCAACTCTGTCTCCTCCGCCATCCCACCAAGCTCTCCATCCTCGAACCCATCGGAAAATCCTCGAAGAAGCTCATCGTCTGCTCCGCTTCCTCCGGCGCACCCGCCCCCACCGAATCAAAGCCCCCTCCGCCTCCCCCGCAGGGCGCCAAGCCCATACTTCTGATCATCTCGCTCGCCATTGGGCTCACCGTCCGGTTCTTCGTCCCCAGGCCCCCCGAGGTCACGCCGCAGGCGTGGCAGCTGCTGTCGATCTTCCTCTCCACCATCGCCGGGCTCGTCCTCAGCCCGCTCCCCGTCGGCGCGTGGGCTTTCCTCGGCCTCACCGCCGCCGTCCTTACCAAAACCCTCACCTTCGCCGCCGCCTTCTCGGCCTTCACAAACGAAGTCATCTGGCTGATCGTGATCTCCTTCTTCTTCGCTAGGGGTTTTGTGAAAACGGGCTTGGGTGATAGGATCGCCACCTATTTCGTGAAGTGGCTTGGAAAGAGCACTTTGGGACTGTCTTACGGGCTGACTTTGAGCGAGGCGTTGATAGCCCCAGCAATGCCGAGCACCACCGCTAGGGCTGGCGGTGTTTTCTTGCCTATTATTAAATCTCTGTCCCTGTCAGCTGGGAGTAAACCTGGGGATCCCTCGAAGAAGAAGATAGGGTCTTATTTGATCCAGTCTCAGTTTCAGGTTTGTTGCTGGCAATTTTTTTGATAATTTATTTTTGCTTGGTCTGTATTAGGTTCTGCAGTTTATGTGATGGTAAAGTTTCCATTGTTGCCCTTTAATATACACGATTCTTTAGTCGATTATAGGTCGAAAGTCTGAATTATGGTAAAATTTCGAAGAAGACAGACCTCGTCAAATTTATGGATGTTATACGTGGTGTTCCCTGATTGTCTGTCCTGAAACTGTACTTTTCTTTTGCTGTATTTTCACTTCTTTGTCCCACTCTCCCATTTAAGTCAGAGATGTCCATTCCTCGACTAACATGAAGTTTGCCCGTATTAGATTCTGCGGTTTATGTGATGGTAAAGTTTTCATTGTTGCCTTTAGATACATGATTCTTTGGGGGATTATAGTTTGAAATTCTGTGTCATGGTAAAATTATGAAGAAGATGACCTTGTCGATTTTATGGATGTTATGCTTAGTGCTCCGGATTGTCTAGTCAGACTATGTATTTTTTTTTTTTTTTAGTATTTTCACTTCTTTATCACACTCTTGAACTCTTGATATGTGTTTGCTTTCGGGTGTTGGACCATAACTCCATTTTTAACTACTAGGTGAATAGCTAACTTTATGAGAAATGTAAAAATGTTTGAAGTAGTACATAAAAGAGTCCCCACCTGTAGATATGTGATAGTAGAAATAACCGTGGTAAATACTTCCCTCAGGTGCATTCTTATGAAATGCTAAGCATCGTGCCGTTGGATATAAGTTATTTTGGTTTTTGTTTGCCTTCAAGATCTATCTTATTGAAATTGTTTGACGCATTCATTTCACTACCTATATTTCAACATTTTACTCTTTTAAAGAAGCTATATTTTGTTGGGAATATCTACGTAGATCATCCGTTGAAGTTCTTATATTGAAGCCTTGTAGACATTCAGTATTCCTCTGCATCACTGCACATGACTCATCTATAACTTTGTTTTCTCACTCGCTCATGCACGTCTCTTTTGCTTTTGTGACAGTCTGCTGGTAACTCTAGTGCTCTTTTCCTAACTGCAGCAGCTCAAAATCTGCTATGCCTCAAGTTAGCTGAGGAACTCGGGGTGGTTATCACAAACCCATGGGTTTCTTGGTTCAAGGCTGCAAGTCTACCTGCTTTTGTTTGTCTTATAGCTACACCATTCATCTTGTATAAGCTTTATCCTCCTGAAACTAAAGATACACCTGATGCCCCTGCTATGGCTTCAAAGAAGTTGGACCTCATGGGCCCCGTGACTAAGAATGAGTGGGTAATGGTTGCTACCATGATTCTTGCAGTCTCTTTGTGGGTGTTTGGGTATGTACAAGTTTGTGTATTTGTTCTGTTGCGTCATTTCTTTTTTTCTTCTTCTTCCTGAGAACTACTGATTCATGATTGAGCAAAAGCAATATCCTTTGGTGGAATGTTATAAATAAAAGTGTGTTCTTGGTGAGTTGGCATGTATATTTCTATGATCCCACTTTGAGAATACGGTTATATCATATGTCATGCAGTATATATTCTTTTAGAGGCTTTTACGTGGTTTATGTGTTTGGTGTGTTTTTGACACTCAACATTATATTCAATCAGGATACACCTCTTACCGCTCTCTCTTCCCCCCCTCCCCAGTCTTTAAAAGGAAACACTTTTTACTCATTTCAGTATCTTTACTACTGTTTCAACCTTTTCATCTACATTTTTTTAAACATTTCTTTCTTTTATAGCCTTCATGCCTGTATAAGTTGCATATGAATGCTGTATATATATATTTTTTTAATTCTTTTAAGATGATTTATATGCAGAGATGCTCTTGGTATTGCAAGTGTTGTTGCTGCAATGCTCGGTTTATCGATACTCTTGTTATTGGGAGTCTTAGACTGGGACGATTGCTTGCGTGAAAAATCGGCATGGGACACCCTAGCATGGTTTGCAGTCCTAGTTGGCATGGCCAGTCAGCTGACGAGCCTCGGGATTGTGAGCTGGATGTCGAGCTGTGTGGCCAATTTGCTTCAGTCATTGTCATTAAGCTGGCCAGCTGCTTTTGGTGTACTTCAGGCTGCATATTTCTTCATTCACTACCTATTTGCTAGTCAGACGGGCCATGTGGGGGCATTATACTCCGCATTTCTCGCCATGCACCTGGCGGCTGGAGTGCCAAGTGTTGTGGCGGCATTGGCTCTCGCTTATAATACCAATCTGTTTGGTGCCTTGACGCATTATAGCAGTGGTCAGGCAGCTGTGTATTTTGGAGGTAACCATTTTCTTCTTTGTTTCAATTCATTTATGG